GGATGAGCTTCTTCCAACTAACTCACGGCTATCTTTGTGAGAGTTTTCACTTCTGATTAGGTGGTGGAGTATCGAGCAGACATTTAAAAAACGCGCGGATGTAGAAAGCATCTGTGTCGTATCTGTCTCTAGGCAACCAGGACAGCAGTTCCTGCTGGCAGCGTCGTTACGCAGCGGACGGATAAACGTCCGCTGACATTGGAGCTACCCTAAATATAGCTCCAGTGTTAGGTTAATAAGAAATATTGTACGACGATGTCACAATTGTCCTGTATTTTGGCAAGCCCTACATTAGTAATTAGCATTTAGACTAGCGACAGTAAACAGTAACTTCTAAATATTTAAAAATACAATCGATGTCAATAAAACACTGCCCTGAACTTACAAACACTAATAAACAACGGCGCCTATCTGTTACTTCTACACTTAACTTACCTGTGAAAACAGATAACGTCGGGACGGATTCGCCCTCAAGCCGGCCAGGTCCACTGAACTGACCAACGTCTCTATCTAACGACGGACTCACTGCGCTCTCTGCGGATGTACACATCGTACGCGATGTTTTCAAAGCGTTCTTCGGTTACGGCCGTATTCGTAGCCCTACGTCACCAGAGACCGTAAATAAATTGTTAAAACAGTTAACAGAGTTGGGTGGTAACTAGTTACATTTACTTGAGTAACTTTTTGTAAAAAAATAAAATAAAAATAAATAAATACTTTTAGGAGTATTTTAGCTGCGTTGTACTTTTTACTTTTACTTGAGTAAGTCCTTGGATGCTACTTTTTACATTAACTTGAGTTAGCAAATTTACTGTTGAGCAGTAATTTTTCAAAGACGGAGCTACATATGCAGCATTTATAATCTTAGAGTTGAAACCTGAAATGAACAACAAAGCAGGGAGCATCAGACTCACAACATGGAGGTCAAAGACTGACATTACCATAAATACACAAAAACATAACCAATTATTCATATTGAGTTATTATTCATGCAAAAAAAGTTGTAAGATACATATTTTAATTTTTTTTTTTTTTTGCTCTGTGCTACAAAACCACACCTCTGTAACTCCAGTTGCACAAGTTTAAATAAAAATGAACACTCAGCTAGATCTGTCACAATAACAAATTTTGCTGGATGATAAATTGCCCCAGAAGTTAATTAAGTAAACAATAATATTGATGTGCTGCTGTTCAGAATAACTTTACCTCTTTGCCATTTTACCAGTGTTTCATTCTGACTCTCATACTGGCTTTCTAAAATCATCCAGACTGGATTTAACCCCCATTCTGTTGTTTGCATCCGTATTAGTGAGATTGATCTGGTGTGCTTGTAAGAAATTCAGACTATTGTAATATTAGTTATGTGGTGGTTCCTCTTGATTAGTGCTCCAAAAAAGGAAAAAAAAAAAGAGGCTCAAATGTTTTCAAAACTTATTTATTTTTCCAGGACCCTCTCATAATTTCCATCGACTAGATTTTAATCTTTAATTTTTCCTTTAACAATTTTGAGTTTTGTTGTTTGTTTTTTTACATTTACTTCTGCACCTTTATGTAAAATGGATATAATGTCTGAGAAATACCTGCCTCATGCAAATGAACCTTCACACCTGTGGTTCCAGGTAAAACCATATAAAGATCCTTTTAGCTTTTCTGAGCTAAATAGAAAAGCTTTATAAACTTCTTTCAGAGAAACTCTTGCAGGTATCTTGTAAAAATAAAGGTTCATTGGATCCTTTGTCAATTTAGATTTCAGTTTATTTTTAGATTGGCCTTTAATTGGATCATTTATTACACTGAGTGAGCGTCTCACCAGCTAACAGTGGATTTTCTTTGAGTTTGTTGATCGCAGCGCTGGAGCTGACGAGTCAGCCCTCTTCTCTCTGAAAGCCTTAGTGAGGTTTGAGGCAGGAGCTTTGTGCTCATCGGACGTCCAGCCGAGGGAACCAGCCATATTGTTGTGAAAAATGAAATGAAATGAAATGAAATTAAATTTTATTCGAACATGATACAATATAAAAATAAAATAGTGCACAGTAACAAGAAGTGCATAAAAAAGAAGAGAAAATACAGATTTTTTGTTTCAGTTAACATATCATGCTCAAAATGGGGTAGGAAGAAGTGAGAACTTATAAACTCCTACCCCCTAAACACTTGAAACTTTAGAGTCCTACTGTCATTAAAAAAATCAAAATCAAAGTGGCAGTCAGAAGTAACAGTTACTAATATTTACCTATACATTTTCCCATTTTATGCTGGTTTGTCTTTCTAAACCCTTACACCCAGTTGTTATCTGCAATACACACCTTATTGCTTTCTGTCACCCGTATGTGTATCTATTGAAAATTACCTTGTATCTATTGAAAATTACCTAAGTAAGTAATTCATTTCCACTCACCGCTAGGTGAAAACACTCAGTCAGGCTTATTTAATGCCGTGCTCATGATATGAGAGCCACAAGATGAGAAACTCATGAACAGGTCAGACTAAAGCTCCAGGTCAGACTCAGAGTTTGCTCTGTCAGTCAGAGTCCACAGGTGGGTTTTATACCAAAGATAAGGAATCCTGAACAATGGAGAGACAGTCTGGTTCCTGAGCAGCTGCAGGAAAACAACATCTCTTCCTGGCTGTGCAAACCAGACAGGTTCATTAGGTGAGAGTTCATAAACACTAAGAATGAAGAGACAAAACGACCAGCAGATTATTGAGGTGATGATGACTTGTATATAGAAATTCATGACACAGTTGAGCTTTCCTGCATGAAACTTTAAGTTAGATGCACCTTGGGAAAGCTTCATGCTCACAGATGAATTTGTTCTGGAAGAAACTGTCTGCTTTGTTCCAGCTCTCTGAGGGATTTCTTCCTGGCATCAGCCTGGCTTTCGGTCCTGGAGTTTTGAGCTCCTCCTTCATCCAGAACCTGGAAAACAGAACCATGAACCTCAGAATAGGAATGTGCCGATCACTTTCTTTAATTTTGCCGCTACAGTGTTCTGATCCAACACTTCAAAAACCTTATATATCATTTAAAAGAACACTGGGGCTGGATGAACCAAATGCAGGGATTTATTGTCATTGGACAGTTTCAATAAAAAAAAAACTGAACATGAAAACTATATTAACAGTATCTGTTAATATAGATAACAGCACATTTAGCAACTTGTATATGTTGCTAAATGTGCTAATGGCAAAGTTCTAGGAAAACTGTCATGATTAGCACTAGCATTCATGGCAGGTCTACTAGTGGGGATTATCTTCTTAATTTGGCCCTAATACTCGTCATTTTATTTTATTTTTTTTGTAAATTGTTTAATTGTGGTAAACAATTATTTTAGTAATCGAGTACTCTACCGATTATTCTGACAATTAATTGAATAAAAATTTTATCAAATAAAAGATTGGTAAATTGTACCATAACAGTGACTGGATTTGGTCATGCTTGTGTCCGAAGTTATGCCCACTATAAACACCTCTGGTTTCCATTTCTCCTGATCCAGACATGCCAACTGTTCTGACGCCTGCTAAGCTCCTGACTCAGAGGATCGATCTGGTGCTGCTACCAGCTGGACAATCTGACCTCAAAGAGCTTTACAGGAAGCAGTGGAAGCAGGTCCAGGCTCTGGCCAATGCGCTCTGGAAACGCTGGCATCAAGAATACCTGACATCACTACAGGCAAAAGAGGCATGAGGAGAAGCCAAACCTGTCAGAAGGAAATGTTGTGCTTCTTAAAGATGCTCATCGTGGTGGTGAATGCCAGCCCCTTTGTAAAGTGGTATTGGGTCAGGATTTTAAAAAGGTTTATTCTGGACTTGTCTCTGAAGTTGTTTTACTTATAAAAGGTTTGGTTTATGTTAGCCTGGGAGAAAGACATCACTAAGCAGAGTAGGACCTCTAGTGGTCACAATTTTCACAGCAGTGTTATTTTGTATCTAGTGTGTGTAGTGTTAGGCTATGTGAGGAAGCCAAACAAGAGGAAAAGTGATGACAATTCTAGGGGCCCTGACCAGCAGGGGGCCCTCCACAATTTGATTATTTGCTCATAGAAATTTAAAAAAATCGGGGTCCTGTCAAATACAACATTAATCATATTATATTTTCAAAGATTGTTTTTAGCAGTAATAATGTAATGTTACCCCTCCCAGACCAAAAACCACACATCCGTTTTTGCCCTGAACCCCCCTATCTGCGTTAAATGGTTTGTTCCTGCTTGGAGTGCTTGACGGTGACGCTGTTCAGCTGCAGTCAGTAGAAACTGCAGCTGAATACAGCTTCCACGAACGACTGTGGCAGTCACTATGCTGCTAAGAGAGAAAAATGCAAGAGTGTTAATTTATAACTCAGTTTTTCTCCAAGAGAGGTGAGTAGNTCAGTCACACTTTGACCAACTCTGTTCAAAGCCCAGCAAGCCTCTTCTCTAGTTTGTGGAATTACTGGCGCCGCCTTAGTTTATATGGTAATGGATGATCATTTTATTGTTATTGTGCCATTTTTTGTTTTTGTTCTGCCTGTTTTTGTTTATTATGAACCATATAAGATTAAGATTTGATTGACTGACTGATTAAATAACCCCATCTCTTAAGACCGCAGGAGGGAAGAAGTTGCATTTAAGCGATAAATGTTCTTTGAAATTTTATGTTTATAGACATTATTTGAAAATATAACTGTTATTAAAAAAATAAAAGGTTTAAAGTAAACTTAAATTCAGCTTTATTGAATATATTAAAACACTTATAATTGTATTTTAACAGTTAATTTGTTGTTTAAAAGTATTTTTTCAGTAAGACTGAATGAAATTTAATCTACAACCAAAAAAAAACTATTTCTAAATACTGGAAGAAAATGTAAAATAAAATTTGAGATTTCTCCGATGATGCAAAGAGATTAAGGCTTGCATGTGACGTAAAAAAAAAATCCCACTATAACTTTCAACTAATTAAGAGCACTTGGATAGTACTGTTACCTTTCAATCCTCATAAAATATATAATATATATTGAGTCACTTACCATTTTTGCTACGGAGTGTAGAATAGGCGTTATCGTCCTCGCTGCTCTCCATCCTTTACAGAGAAAATAATAAAGATTAGAAAATGTCCAACATCTCTTTGAATAATCTCAGCTGTAGCTCACAGCAAAGCAGGCAGGTTCCTCTTCCAGCTTTTAAAAGATAACATCAAGGTTTGATGCAGCATCAGAACATAAAGACAGTCATAAAGTCGGTCTTCTATCACCTGAAGAACATTTTCAGGATTAAAGCACTAATGTCCTAGTAATATTTTTCTAATTATGAACTATTTAACTGTGTTAAAAGTTCTTCATTTAAGATGGGCAGTGTTAATAATGATGAAGATATGAAAGTTTCAGCTCAAGAAATTTATAATGCAGTCATGAGCCTAAATAATAATGAGGCTGGTGATATGGATGAGGTGTTAGACTGTCAAGCAGAAAACTTTTTCCTTTGCCTACCTTGTGTTTTTCTGGTTTTTTAGTCCATGGCATTTTGCCTACCTCACCTTTAGCTGTTATATTAGAGACTATTATGAAAGACAAAGGTGGCAAAATAAATGATCGGCCCATAGCTTTAGCCAGTGTGCTGTCCAGGAAAAGATTATACTGATAAGGTAGAACATTTTCTCCTTACTTCTGATAATCAGCTTCACTTTAAATCAAACCATGGCACAATTATGTATATTTTAGCTTTGAAAGAGATCTTAGATTTCTATAATTGACCCAAATTCCACAATGTTTATGTTCTACTGATGTCTCAAACTGGAACTGGATGGTTTTTGACCATGTTAATCATGAAAAGTTATTTTATAAGTTATACATCAGAGGAGTTCCCAGATCGACAGCTCCTTTTAAAATAAGGTTAAAATAAGGTACAGAGTTACACAGGGAAGCATTCTGTGTCCTCTGCTTTTAAAGTATACAGGGATGATTAATCAAACTGGCTACAAAATTGTGCCATAGGGTGAGTTGAATGTTGGTGGGATTATAATTAACCACTTCATGTATACAGATGACATGGTTATTTTTAGTCCTTGTAGTGCTGGTCCTCAACAATTATTAAAAACCTGCTCACAATATGATCAGGAGTATGGCATTGGCTTCATTCACACTGCAGCCCGAACTGACCCAAATCCATTTTTTGTTGTTGTTGCCTTAATTCAACTTGTATCTGATCGTTTTATGACAGTCTGAACAATACAGTTCCGATTTTTACAAATGCAACCCAGGCATCTTGGATATTTGGTTCTAAAGACAATTTATATCTGAACTTTTCAAACGTCACTATTCTGCGCCGTGATAAACGCAAGCGGAAAGAAAAACATCCACCATGGCGGACGATAATGAGGATTAAGTTGTTAATGTGCTGGCTCCCCTTGGACAACAACTTAAACATTGTAAGATAGACTTCCTCGTTAGCATCCATTTTTACTTCCGCAAACACTGAGCACGCTCTTTACGTGTGACGTTACTACGCACTCTACTGAGCATGCGGGACATTTTAAGATCGTTTGCAAAAGCGCCAGAGACACGCTACTGGTTTGCAGTTTACACACGGGAGATCACAGTCGCATTTATTTAGAAATGTGAACGACCATGCAAAAAAAAAAAAAAAAAAGAGGTTTCTCAATAAATCGGAATTGAGCATTAAAGCCTGCAGTGTGAACTCAGCCATTATGTTCAATGTACTGAAAAGTAATACGATTACGAAAACCAGGGAAGATCAGAACCTGGTACTTCCTAACTTCTCTGTCGCTGTTCAGCTTGGGATGAGCTTCTTCCAACTAACTCACGGCTATCTTTGTGAGAGTTTTCACTTCTGATTAGGTGGTGGAGTATCGAGCAGACATTTAAAAAACGCGCGGATGTAGAAAGCATCTGTGTCGTATCTGTCTCTAGGCAACCAGGACAGCAGTTCCTGCTGGCAGCGTCGTTACGCAGCGGACGGATAAACGTCCGCTGACATTGGAGCTACCCTAAATATAGCTCCAGTGTTAGGTTAATAAGAAATATTGTACGACGATGTCACAATTGTCCTGTATTTTGGCAAGCCCTACATTAGTAATTAGCATTTAGACTAGCGACAGTAAACAGTAACTTCTAAATATTTAAAAATACAATCGATGTCAATAAAACACTGCCCTGAACTTACAAACACTAATAAACAACGGCGCCTATCTGTTACTTCTACACTTAACTTACCTGTGAAAACAGATAACGTCGGGACGGATTCGCCCTCAAGCCGGCCAGGTCCACTGAACTGACCAACGTCTCTATCTAACGACGGACTCACTGCGCTCTCTGCGGATGTACACATCGTACGCGATGTTTTCAAAGCGTTCTTCGGTTACGGCCGTATTCGTAGCCCTACGTCACCAGAGACCGTAAATAAATTGTTAAAACAGTTAACAGAGTTGGGTGGTAACTAGTTACATTTACTTGAGTAACTTTTTGTAAAAAAATAAAATAAAAATAAATAAATACTTTTAGGAGTATTTTAGCTGCGTTGTACTTTTTACTTTTACTTGAGTAAAATGTATTCTGGAGTAAAATGTTTGGATTCTCTATAGTGGGTATGCCCACTGTGAGTAACTCCACCGAATGAAGAACAAGCTTGTTTTAACAACAAAAAATCCATCTGCAGGTGTGTGACAAAGACACACACCTGCAGTTTTTGTTAAAATTTCTCAAGTTCTGTATTAAAAAAAAAAAAGATTTGAAAAAATGTTTTGTTTGTCTGGTTTTGTTATTCATATGAATTATTTTTTATTGTGGTCTTTAAAATACAAATAATTCCACATAAATTTAAGTTTTGGTCTGTCTGATGTTGTCTTTTTTAAATATTAAATAATTAAAGTTTTCATCAGTTAAGTAACCTTTTTACCAAATACTTTTTACTCTTACTTGAGTAAGTCCTTGGATGCTACTTTTTACATTAACTTGAGTTAGCAAATTTACTGTTGAGCAGTAATTTTTCAAAGACGGAGCTACATATGCAGCATTTATAATCTTAGAGTTGAAACCTGAAATGAACAACAAAGCAGGGAGCATCAGACTCACAACATGGAGGTCAAAGACTGACATTACCATAAATACACAAAAACATAACCAATTATTCATATTGAGTTATTATTCATGCAAAAAAAGTTGTAAGATACATATTTTAATTTTTTTTTTTTTTTGCTCTGTGCTACAAAACCACACCTCTGTAACTCCAGTTGCACAAGTTTAAATAAAAATGAACACTCAGCTAGATCTGTCACAATAACAAATTTTGCTGGATGATAAATTGCCCCAGAAGTTAATTAAGTAAACAATAATATTGATGTGCTGCTGTTCAGAATAACTTTACCTCTTTGCCATTTTACCAGTGTTTCATTCTGACTCTCATACTGGCTTTCTAAAATCATCCAGACTGGATTTAACCCCCATTCTGTTGTTTGCATCCGTATTAGTGAGATTGATCTGGTGTGCTTGTAAGAAATTCAGACTATTGTAATATTAGTTATGTGGTGGTTCCTCTTGATTAGTGCTCCAAAAAAGGAAAAAAAAAAAAGAGTCTCAAATGTTTTCAAAACTTATTTATTTTTCCAGGACCCTCTCATAATTTCCATCGACTAGATTTTAATCTTTAATTTTTCCTTTAACAATTTTGAGTTTTGTTGTTTGTTTTTTTACATTTACTTCTGCACCTTTATGTAAAATGGATATAATGTCTGAGAAATACCTGCCTCATGCAAATGAACCTTCACACCTGTGGTTCCAGGTAAAACCATATAAAGATCCTTTTAGCTTTTCTGAGCTAAATAGAAAAGCTTTATAAACTTCTTTCAGAGAAACTCTTGCAGGTATCTTGTAAAAATAAAGGTTCATTGGATCCTTTGTCAATTTAGATTTCAGTTTATTTTTAGATTGGCCTTTAATTGGATCATTTATTACACTGAGTGAGCGTCTCACCAGCTAACAGTGGATTTTCTTTGAGTTTGTTGATCGCAGCGCTGGAGCTGACGAGTCAGCCCTCTTCTCTCTGAAAGCCTTAGTGAGGTTTGAGGCAGGAGCTTTGTGCTCATCGGACGTCCAGCCGAGGGAACCAGCCATATTGTTGTGAAAAATGAAATGAAATGAAATGAAATTAAATTTTATTCGAACATGATACAATATAAAAATAAAATAGTGCACAGTAACAAGAAGTGCATAAAAAAGAAGTTTCAGTTAACATATCATGCTCAAAATGGGGTAGGAAGAAGTGAGAACTTATAAACTCCTACCCCCTAAACACTTGAAACTTTAGAGTCCTACTGTCATTAAAAAAATCAAAATCAAAGTGGCAGTCAGAAGTAACAGTTACTAATATTTACCTATACATTTTCCCATTTTATGCTGGTTTGTCTTTCTAAACCCTTACACCAAGTTGTTATCTGCAATACACACCTTATTGCTTTCTGTCACCCGTATGTGTATCTATTGAAAATTACCTTGTATCTATTGAAAATTACCTAAGTAAGTAATTCATTTCCACTCACCGCTAGGTGAAAACACTCAGTCAGGCTTATTTAATGCCGTGCTCATGATATGAGAGCCACAAGATGAGAAACTCATGAACAGGTCAGACTAAAGCTCCAGGTCAGACTCAGAGTTTGCTCTGTCAGTCAGAGTCCACAGGTGGGTTTTATACCAAAGATAAGGAATCCTGAACAATGGAGAGACAGTCTGGTTCCTGAGCAGCTGCAGGAAAACAACATCTCTTCCTGGCTGTGCAAACCAGACAGGTTCATTAGGTGAGAGTTCATAAACACTAAGAATGAAGAGACAAAACGACCAGCAGATTATTGAGGTGATGATGACTTGTATATAGAAATTCATGACACAGTTGAGCTTTCCTGCATGAAACTTTAAGTTAGATGCACCTTGGGAAAGCTTCATGCTCACAGATGAATTTGTTCTGGAAGAAACTGTCTGCTTTGTTCCAGCTCTCTGAGGGATTTCTTCCTGGCATCAGCCTGGCTTTCGGTCCTGGAGTTTTGAGCTCCTCCTTCATCCAGAACCTGGAAAACAGAACCATGAACCTCAGAATAGGAATGTGCCGATCACTTTCTTTAATTTTGCCGCTACAGTGTTCTGATCCAACACTTCAAAAACCTTATATATCATTTAAAAGAACACTGGGGCTGGATGAACCAAATGCAGGGATTTATTGTCATTGGACAGTTTCAATAAAAAAAAAACTGAACATGAAAACTATATTAACAGTATCTGTTAATATAGATAACAGCACATTTAGCAACTTGTATATGTTGCTAAATGTGCTAATGGCAAAGTTCTAGGAAAACTGTCATGATTAGCACTAGCATTCATGGCAGGTCTACTAGTGGGGATTATCTTCTTAATTTGGCCCTAATACTCGTCATTTTATTTTATTTTTTTTGTAAATTGTTTAATTGTGGTAAACAATTATTTTAGTAATCGAGTACTCTACCGATTATTCTGACAATTAATTGAATAAAAATTTTATCAAATAAAAGATTGGTAAATTGTACCATAACAGTGACTGGATTTGGTCATGCTTGTGTCCGAAGTTATGCCCACTATAAACACCTCTGGTTTCCATTTCTCCTGATCCAGACATGCCAACTGTTCTGACGCCTGCTAAGCTCCTGACTCAGAGGATCGATCTGGTGCTGCTACCAGCTGGACAATCTGACCTCAAAGAGCTTTACAGGAAGCAGTGGAAGCAGGTCCAGGCTCTGGCCAATGCGCTCTGGAAACGCTGGCATCAAGAATACCTGACATCACTACAGGCAAAAGAGGCATGAGGAGAAGCCAAACCTGTCAGAAGGAAATGTTGTGCTTCTTAAAGATGCTCATCGTGGTGGTGAATGCCAGCCCCTTTGTAAAGTGGTATTGGGTCAGGATTTTAAAAAGGTTTATTCTGGACTTGTCTCTGAAGTTGTTTTACTTATAAAAGGTTTGGTTTATGTTAGCCTGGGAGAAAGACATCACTAAGCAGAGTAGGACCTCTAGTGGTCACAATTTTCACAGCAGTGTTATTTTGTATCTAGTGTGTGTAGTGTTAGGCTATGTGAGGAAGCCAAACAAGAGGAAAAGTGATGACAATTCTAGGGGCCCTGACCAGCAGGGGGCCCTCCACAATTTGATTATTTGCTCATAGAAATTTAAAAAAATCGGGGTCCTGTCAAATACAACATTAATCATATTATATTTTCAAAGATTGTTTTTAGCAGTAATAATGTAATGTTACCCCTCCCAGACCAAAAACCACACATCCGTTTTTGCCCTGAACCCCCCTATCTGCGTTAAATGGTTTGTTCCTGCTTGGAGTGCTTGACGGTGACGCTGTTCAGCTGCAGTCAGTAGAAACTGCAGCTGAATACAGCTTCCACGAACGACTGTGGCAGTCACTATGCTGCTAAGAGAGAAAAATGCAAG